ACACAGTCACTGAATGCCTGCACCTCGCCTGCCCTGCGCTTTGCTGCGGGAGACTGTCATCCCTGCCTGACCCCTACCTTCCGGTTACCATGGTTATCAGTAACCGTACCTCACTTTCACTTAATCTCTTTGTAGTTGTATCTCTCACTTTAAATCCTCAGAACCACCCTGTGAAGCAGGTGCTCTCATTCTCCTTCAATTAACGGGGCAACTTCAACCCACAGGGTCTGCACCCCAGCCCGCTGCCCAAGCAACTCAGCAGGTTGATGTAGACCCCTGACCCCGAGGCCTGGTTTCCCATCCATCCCCCAGCCCATCACCATGCACAGGACAGTGCTGCCCGGAGCCCCAGAATCCCATCCTTTCCCTGGGGAAAGGGGATCATGTTTTAGGGTGCCCATACTCTTCCCATTGGCTGCTCCCACTTCTGCCTTGTGTCCTCTCCTGTTTGCCCCACTGAGCCAGCTGCAAGGGAGGCGGCATTCTGAGGTAGGTAAGAAAGTGAACTCACGTTGGCTTGAAAGAAAATAAATGCACCAGATACATCACAGTTGTTTGGGGATGTCATCACAGAATTTTATACATAATAAATGAAATTATAACCTGTAATACAACAAAGACTGAATTGTCAGTAACAGACCAGGCATCTTGCAAATGGTACATTTCGAAAGTCTTTAACTTTACAACCATAGGTTAGAGAAAAGGATGCAATTTATTGGACCCGTTTCACATTTTTCCTATGAATCATTAAATATTTAAGCACCATAAAATTCAAGCATCTCATGTGGATGTGGCAGCCAGCCTTGGTGGTTTAAAATGCATTATGCAGAGTCTCTGGCAGATAATAACAGTGACAATTGCAGAGTACTGATTTTTAATGTCAATTGTTTTGTTCCCTGCAGAACTTCCTGATAATGTCCCTGTAGGAAATCGTGACTTTTTTGGTGTGGTATGGTGGCTTTTAGAATTGAAATAAAATAGCATTCCCAGACATTAGAAATTGACCAGGTTTAAGTAATTCTAATTAGTAATTTATATGCCTGTGAGAATCATAATATAATTATATATAAAAATATATATTTCATATTAAATGGTTTGTTTTAAATAGAACATGTGACTATAATCAGTGCACCGTGGCTGCTATGTATTAGGTTTATAACCAAACTTAATTTCCAATGCCAGAGTATATGTTATGTCTCATGTTATAAATGAGAAAATTGGGGCTCAGGGAATTGGTATAACTTACCCAAAGTAATAGCAAAAAGTGACCCAACCAGATTCAAACCTGGGTTCAACCAACTCTAAAGTCCACATTTTTCCACTGTTCTTGCAGCCATACCGCAGCCATAAAAGTTAACAATTATCAAATTACTCTGCTGAGCTAATAAAAACACAAATCTAATGTACTTTCCTGGAACATATAGAATGATTTGCTTTATTATAATCAGAGGCTCAAAATAAAATCTTTGATAAAATCCAGTTTTATGCACCATTCCATTGACTATTTTCTAAGCACCGAGAACATGTGTAAGTTTGTTAGAGGCGACCTTGTGCCAGGAAGATCGCACATCACCAGGTAACAGAGATTTCAGCCCAAGTCAAGTCACGTGACATTTCAATGAAGAGTCTTCTCTCAGCCAAATCTCTCAAATCTTCTGAAATTTCAATTTTTGGGAAAGCAGCTATTCTTCAGGAGGGAGTGATGGTTAAAATTACTCCCACAACATATGTGCACACCCACAATCTCTTCTTACAATTATTCACCGGAAGCCAATTGATAGACTTGTACATCTGAAACCTATATAATTTTATTAATCAATGTCACCCCAATGAATTCAATTAAAAAACATTTAAAAATAGATTTCATTGCCCATTAAAAAAAAGAAACCCCATATGAAGAGCGAAACATCTAATGCCTGGTGACGCTTGTTGAGTTGTCATTGAAAAAAGAATTATGTCAATAATGCGTCAGCTCTGTGGAGACACTGGGCGTGCAAAGATGAATGGAGCCTGCTCCTGCCCTCCATGTTAGCAAGAGAAGGCAGGAAGTGTGATGAGACCATACAGGAGCCATGTGGGAACAGGGGAGAGTGGACAGGTCCTAGTCTCTCTGGGGAAATTCACATACTCTCAACTCATTCAGTCTTTATAGGTAAGGAGTTGTCTGGCAGGTCAACTTCTGGGGCTGGTGGAAAGAGCAGGAGCAAAGAAAGTCACAGCGATCAGAGCCCATCTCTCTGGTGAGCACAGAGGCAACCCGGACAGCCCCTGCAGGCCCCTGCACCCCGTGGGAAGTCACTGCACTCCATAGCAGGACAGTCTTGGAAGGAGTTTTAAGCCAAAGAATAACAATCACATTTGCCTCTTAGATAAACGACAACTGGGATGGGCACACAGAGGCATCAGTTGAGGTTGTCTACCACAAGAGTGTAGGTGAAAGACAAGGCTGTTAGGCAGGTACAATGAGGCTGGAGAGGAAGGGTGCACCCACAAGGGGTGGTGATGAAGCTCAGGCCTTTGGAATAGGAGAGCAGCAGGAATGGGCCACCACTCGCAGCCTGGACATAAACCGCAAAGGAAACCTGCAGTCCCCAGCTAGTGACCCAGAGCAATTCCCACTGGGCAACCTAGGCTCGGTCCAACCAGCAAAGCAGGAGAGGGGTTCTTGGGAAGGAGGTTTTGGTACTGAGAAACACCTGTGATGGATTAGAACAGCCTGAGAGCTTTGTCCATCCTTCACAGACAAAGGACATTTCAAAGTGCATTGATATATGACCAGGAGGAGAAAGTAATGGCTTAAAACAACTGGGTCTTCTCTTCCAAGAAGTTATTTTTCCATCTAGATAATTTAAAATGCTTCCCCCCCGCTCCCCCACAAAAATCAGAAAGCAGCCCTAGCCAGTTTTGCTCAGTGGATAGAGTGTCGGCCTGCGGACTGAAGGATTTCAGGTTCAATTCTTGTCAAGGGCACATGCCTGGGTTGTGGGCTCGATCCCTGGTTGGGGGCATGCAGGAGGCAGCCATTCAATGATTCTCTCTCATCATTGATGTTTCTATCTCTCCCTCCCTCTCCCTCCCTCTCTGAAATCAATAAATATATATATTTTAAAAATCAGAAGGCAGCATTTTGTTACATTTAGAAAGGGCTCTTATGTATGAAACCAGTATTTTGAACAATCTCAAATTGTTCAAAATATCCCAGGCTCACCGTGGAGCAAACTGTTTTTTACGAAGTTTACTTGGCAAGCTTATTGAAGTTGATGCTACCGAAGTTAAAGTGTTTTAAATATGTTTCTGATGTTTCCTTTTTCACCCTTACCTCTTCTCAGAAAATGTTCTCAGACCAAGCTCATGAATGAACAAGATAAATTTTTAGAGTGCTTGAGTTTTGGTAATATATGATAAAGCTTTTGGAGACAGAAAATTGTAAGTATAAATAAGGTTGGCATTGGCTTAAATTTCAGGTGCTTAAAAATATGTAATATGCCATAGCATAGTTTAAGAACATCAATGAATGGGTCAAAAGAACTCAAGAAAGTGTTTCATCTTAAAATGCACATATTTTCTATTTTTACCAGAAAATATTCTTAAAATAAATGATCATCCAGGGACACCTCATAACAAGACTCATTTGAAATGTGTTCTGTGTATAAGGGCACATTCCTAATCAATGTTTGGCCAGGAAACTATTTCTTATAAACAAACTTTTAATTGAGTTTTCCTTCTCTCAATTATTTTTAAGTGCATTGAAATAGCACTAAAATGAGTGTCACTCTCTCATGAGAAATGTCTTTCATTTTCTCTAAAGTGACTTTTTTTTAAATGAGAAAGGCAAGTTTCCTAAAAATATTTTTCAACAAGCCTTTTGATATTTGTGACTAGACGACAGAAATCCTGCCAAAACAGAAAACATAGCCTTTGCTATTCAGAAAACTACTCCTTATAAATGGACGTAACTCCTAAACTTTTGTAGAAAATGTTAATACCAAATGTCAAACTGCTGCCTTGGTATAATACTGATAGAACATATAAGAATGTTTTTAAAATTGGGAAACCAGGATGCTCCTATGAAAATGAATAACAAGAACATAAAATTCAAATTGTAGGCTGTCTTTGTTGCATTTCAAGATAATACTGTTCTTTCTTCTTCCTGGTGGGGTGACCGTGACTTAAATGAATCTTCTTACCTAAGTTTAATGAAGTCGGCCCTTCATTTTCTTGGAAGTGCATAATGATAGCTCTGTCACTTCCTCGTGTGAGATGCTATTATGTGTAGGGAGCGGAATGTCCACTGTGGGCTGCGAGCCAGCTCTGCAGAGGCCGCTGGGGACCTGAGCCCGATGCTTTGTATGAGCCGCGTGCCGCCTGAGGAAGTCCCAGGTGGCTCCCGTCCCATTAGCACGCACGCACCGAAGACAAGCTGGACCCCGACTGGGGAAAAGCTGCCTGTTTGGAAGTTCACTGCCGTGGGAAGTCAATTTTTGTGAATCACTGTCTTAATATTCATTAACAGCTTTTAGGCTCTTAATCCCTCATTGAATATATTTTTTCCATAATTGCTGCTTTTCAAACGGGTTGCCAGAGTAGGCATCTCCATTCTCTGACAGATGCAGCAGAGAACATAATGTTTTACGTTCATCTGCAGTGTGTTTATGCTAATGTCACATCTCCGGAATACGGCCGCGTGGTCCTTTCTGGCACAGCAATTCAGTGTGCTTTGAAATGAGCTGTTCACGCTGGCTGTGTGGATTTTTTGTGTTTAAGTTTCATTGGGTCATGGTTTTACCATTATTTAAAGTACATGGAAAAATAGATTACAGAGGAAATCATTTTGAAATGTTGGAAATCTCTACTTTCCAGTTTCATTTGTTGGCCTATGTATTTTTTTCCTGTAAAATCCATCCTAAAGCCCCCCTGTATTCCAGAGTAATTGTTTGAGGTGCTATTAAGCAATGAATGGAGTTTTCAGTAATGTAGCTTGTAATCTGGCCTTTATCATCTATTTGCCTTTCTGTGCATTTTTTTAAATGATAAAGCTAGCTCTTCTATCCTCCTCAATAAAATAAGGAGATCTGGGTTTCATCTAGATTGGTGGGTCCAACCATATCCATACACATAGCATTTGCTTAATCTGTCCAGAACAGAGAAATACAGTACTGTGGAAATAAAGACAATCAATCAGAACAAACCGCTATCACAGGAGTGGGAAATGAGCACCATTAAATCTCAGCACGGCCCGGGACCACTGAGCCCCTGGGGAGTGTCTCTCAGTGGCACGTGGGCAAGTCCTGGGTTCTCTAGCTAACCTTCATGCAGACCTGACACCTGCTGATTTTCTGGCGCTGGGCCTGGCTTTCCTTTAAGGTTTCTGGTGAAGGTGCTGCGGAAAATTGCAAGTGTGGTTTGACCGCCGTCAGCCAGAAGCTGTACTTGTTTGCAAAGAAGTGGCAAGTTCCCTGCCGGCCTTGGCATTCGAGGAAGGGAGCTGCTCGGAAATCTTCCAGGCAGCTGCCGGGTGACATGAGGGCCTGCCCTCCTCCTTGGTCCCCAGCGCCTGTGTGCTGCCAGGACAACAAGAGAATTAGGGCTCAGACACACGCAGACAACCCCAGACCCAGTCGGGGACATGCCGAGATCTGGGCCTGACTTTCTCATTTTTCCTGAAATGGTTCCACGAGGACCAGACTGGCTCTGCTGAGGGGAAGTGCAGTGGAGATGAGTTGGGTGCACACAAAATTCAACCACTCTCACCGATGCCTGAATCATCTCCAGCTTCTAAATCAGGGGTGGGCAAACTTTTTGACTCGAGGGCCACAATGGGTTCTTAAACTGGACCGGAGGGCCGGAACAAAAGCATGGATGGAGTGTTTGTGTGAACTAATATAAATTCAAAGTAAACATCATTAAAAAAAAGGGTT